ATTGGTCCATCACTATGATGGACTGCCTCACTGGCCAATAGTAATGTGTAGGAGATGAAAAAGGGCGCACCTATAATGGACTACAATCTCAATACAAATGAGTAAACTAAACATGAGATTGTAGTCCATCACAGGAGCAAGCTTGGAGCGGTGACTACTTTACAACACACACATGGACCATGGGGAACAAAAGTAGCCACCCTCCAGAAGGAAGGACAGCATCAGCATGAATTCAGAGGTGATTTGAGGATCTACAGTCGAGTGATACACAAATAAGATACAGTTTTGATAATAGTTGTACCTCAATTTGTGTAAATATCTGGCCCCTGTAATCCCTTGTACAGTAGAACAGGTTTTCTTGCATGTGCAAGAGCTGATAAGTAACAACCTGGCTGGAGGCTAGGGGAGAAAGTTGACCTCGTCAGTCTGCTGCTGCTCCTTCCCTGCCCAGTCACAGGCAAAGGGTGGAGAGATTTCCTGGTTGTATTGCTTAACTGCAGTAGAGAAGATTGTGGTCACCAACTGTTTGCCAGGGTTGAGTAAATCAAAAAATTACAAGTGTTTTGGCAGGTTAAAAAGCTCTAACATATGTATTTCAGTCATATATTTAACTATTTGCCCAGTGGCTAATTTTAAGCTCACAGGTTTTTAAGCCTCATAACTTTTTTCCATCAGGAAGCATGTGCTTGCCATTCCACTGATGCTCCTGACTCCATGTTGTTTGTTTACGTCATTCCTGTAGGGGAGTATCTCCCACCTCAGCAAAGATTCAAAGCAAAAAAAAAGCTTCAAATCTCTCTTCACACTCTGTTGCTAAACGATGGCATGTGTAATCACTTTTTCTCGCCCTCATTAGGTCATTCATGGCCATTCTAGAAAGGAAAAAAAATACCCTTTTTATTTTTTTTCTCTCTACAGTACTCCAGTCCATGTGAGACAATGTCTTGTAACAATACAGGACCCTAATCTCCATGTCAAAGCAATTTTCATTCCCCAGTGCACAGGCTGCTATCATTTTGTAATGTTTTGTTTCTTCTCTTGAAAGAATTAAAAAAGGAACAGTAAGCCGTCACGGGGGCCCTGTCATCCTTATCTCAGTGTCTGGAAATTTTGGACAGTGTATTCTACTGCTCAGATAAAATGTAAAAAAAAAGAAGTCCAAGTTCAGCAAATCATAATGGCTTTAAGTTCTTTTGAGATCGGCAAAAACCAGAAGATCAGATAAGCGGGGTCCCTTAGTTGTCTTTTTAATCAGGATCCCCGCAAGGCCGAAGAGAGACAGAACAGACACACAGAGAGAAAATATAATTCTTGGATAGGTTAAGTACATGTTTGAACTCTTGCAAGCAGAAGAGATTTGATGATGACTTAATCATTTTTCGGTCAATTATCTGCAAGGACCCTTGCAACTGCATGGCAATTATGATGCAAGATGGCCTTTTGGGACAAACACCAGTCTCCCTGCCTCTGTTTCCTCAGATTCCCTGCCACGAATCCTCATTCACTTCATTATCTCTGTTAACATAGGACGAACTTTCTGTGCAGTAATTACAGCCCCAGTGCACACTTTAGCTGTCATCTTGATGGAGGCCTGGATGTCCTCACTGCAGCCTCGGATAAGTGGTCTTTGTTGATTTTTGATTAATGTACATGTCTTCCTGGAGCTTAGGAAAAGTGAATGCTTGTGATGACAAAAGACAGGAGGGGTGGGGGGCTTACATATCAGCTTGCTTGATTTAAAGCTTCAGCTTTATTGGCTTTGGCTTGCCAAGCTAGAGTCTCATCTGGTCTTTCAAGGGAAATGCTAAATAAATACATGCCACCCCAAAAGAATATCTTGAAGCTTCTGCTAATGCTTGGAAATGGGCTTTCAAGGGCTGCTCTTGAGCACAGCGGTACGCATAAAGTTTTTATAATCAAAATAAAAAAGTTTCTGTGGTGATGCAACCAGTAATGCCAGTGATGGCAGCCATTTTGTATGCTTAAAAAGACCCCCTTGAATCATTATTCTCACCTTTGTTGTGGTCCTCCACAGTGCAGTTGCTCTGTTAGAGCCCTCTAAAAATGCCTGATGCTTCTGGGTATGGAGTGATGCAACTCCTCTCATGTAGCAGTTCTCAAGCCTGAGCAGCCAATCACCGGCTGGAATGCTGTCTCTTTAGAAGGAGGATGATATTTTCAAGCCTGTATAAGCACCAATACCATCTGACATGGAATTTACAAAAGTTATAGTCAATGTAAGCCATGCCACCACTGTCAGACTATACTTTATTATGTGTATGTGTGTTAAAAACAGGATATCCCAAGTATATGGCATTTCCAACAATATTGTAAATGCCGTTTACAGGAGATGTTCTTTGAGGGAAGGTGGCCACAAACACAAAATTTTCAAAAATGGGTTGTTAATTAGCTACCTTCCCAAGTGTTATATATAGATTCTAAAGCCCACGCTAGAGTAGAAAGTACAACAAGAGAGAGTTTAACGTCACGCTCAAGTAAATGTATTTAAATGACTTCCTCAGAGTTACATCGTTTTTTTACATTGCAGCCATAAGGCCTCATTCACACACAACACAAGAGAAAAATTGTATATTGCGTGTATACGTGTATATGCGCGTATATACGAGCATATGTGTGTATATGCGTGCACTATTTGCATTCCCAGAATGCATCATTCCTAATAGAAATGTTAATGAACTGTACGCACGTATGCGCATATACGCGCGTATATATGCGTATACGCATAAAATACGCAGAAATACGCTGCCCGGGCGCATCTCTGGTCCATTCTGTTTTCGTGCATATATACGCTACGCAAATATACGGCTCCATACGCAGCTATGTGTACGGAGCCATTTATTTGCATATGTTACATATGGTACAATGCGCGCGTACGCGTGTATATGCGCGCCAGTGTGAATGAGGCCTTAGAGTCACTTAGCCTACATGAGAATTAAGATATGTGAGAAATTACAGACCTGTACCTAAAATAAAAAAATAAACAGTGAAAAAATAACCATTTGACGGAATAAACGTCAGTCAAAGTACTGCAGCGCTGAATACTGAAAAATGGCCTGGCCAGGAAGGGGGTCTAAACACCTGGTCTTGAAGTGGTTAATACAAACATGCATCTTCATCTTTCAGTTCTTGAGGAGTGTATCTAATTCCAAGAACAAAAATGTTATATTTTGCAGCTTACCAGTCCTTACATGTGGTGGCTGCATTAGTATTAGGCTTTTTACCTGGTAATACTACCAGTAATACAGGGTAGGAGCAATGTTTTCATTCTAGGAAAGGATGTAAGGAATTATGTTAGCACTTTCCCTTCTCCTTATCTCCATGACATGGGGGATGTTCTGTAGTTCCCAGAGGTAACCTGTGCAGGTTTGATAAGACTGCATGAGTTAACACTCCAGACAGCACTGGATTTCTGGCAGGATCAACAGGTACTTTACTTGTACTTATCAAACAGATATTACAAAACACTGACAATGGTATATTTAACAGACCAAAAGTGAGCAAATGAGAGAAATTATGGTTTACCTACACTTTAAAGTGAAATTAAAGGCAACATCTCCCCCCCAATACAGCTGTAAGCACTTACCTTATTTGATGCCTCTTGCTGCGGTCATCTTCTTCCTTCCACTCGTTTCTGACAGTCCCTCCAGCGCTGGCGCCGGTCTCTGATCCACCGCAGACTCCTCATGTCCCATGGTGTCTGTCCAACGTGCGCGCTCCCGCCTGCGTCCATTGAGCTTCAGTGTCTGTTCTCTCCCCTTCCCTCTACTGCGCATGCACTCACACACTTCCTATTTACAGATGTTCCGGAGCCGGGAGCGCTTCAGCCGGGAGCGAGCGGTGCTGGAACAGGTAAGTAATTAGGTATTTGACACATTTTTATTTTTTTTTCAATCATGGGGCCTATATCTACTGCTTGCTAGCAGTAGATATATCCCAAAATATAAGAGACTTTAATTATACTTTAAGAAGGGATTGCATATCCATGATTACAGCCATTTAAGCCATTTTAAGTAAAGGACTTTGTGTATTAAATTCTTATCTTTTATAATCATTTTTAACCATGTGTATCAAAGTGCAGTAAATGACCCCTGTAACGACTCCCAGAAAATGGCCTTGCCATTCTTCATGTAATGAAACTGAATAACTGAGCGAAGTTTATGGGAACAGCCTAATGAGAAAGCATGGCAACAAATGACATCTTAGCACAGCTTCCACTAAAGTTCAATTGAGATTATTATCTGTGCCAGCAGTGCCATCCCAGCACACAGATGTAGCAGGGGCTCGCGTTACCAAATGTTTTCATTGTGCGTTAGAGATTACCTTCTATATAAAGTCTATCTCGGGAGACCTGAGGAGGATAAACATGACTGCCTTTTTAGAGCACAAGACTACCCAGCCAACCTTGCTTCTCCTTCGAAGCTGTCCTAAGCCGCAGCTGTACCTTTGTATTATCTCCGGTAACAGAGCACGTCTGCGTGTCACTCTTATTATAGTTTACTTGACTTCACAGGGATCTAAGCTTTATTAATAGCTTAGACAACCCCACATGTGCTTGTCTTTGTCATGGAGATTCACATATAAATATTATGGCTGAGCATTGTTTTCCATCATACTTATATTAGCTTAAGCTTGGGCTGACGGACGGCCTAAGTTGCCTGACTCCACTTGACTTAAAGCTGCACTCCAGGCAGATATTTTAAAAAAACACCAATAAATACAGAGATGTGTAAAAAAAAGCCATACACACAGCTCGGTGGGCCCTGCTTATGTTTAAGAAGCAAACTGAGGGAAATCTGAACTTGCAGGACTTGTGAATATCCCAGTACAGCTCTCAAAAGATAGGAATTTAAAATTAAAAAGGTTGTAATTTCAAACCCAGTGATTTTTTTTTTATATTTCAGAAGAGCTAAGATCTAAAAAATGCACTTACTTTGTTAATGTCTATTACAAATCACATGATCCACTTACTTGTCTTGCAGTTCAACAGGTGCATTACCTCCCAGCTCATCAAGTGGTTCAGCAACTTCCGGGAGTTTTACTACATCCAGATGGAGAAGTATGCCAGGCAATCCATCAATGATGGGGTGACCAGCACTGACGAACTGTCCATCACTCGAGACTGTGAGCTCTACCGGGCCCTCAACATGCACTACAACAAAGCCAATGACTTTGAGGTACGTGCCTTTCTTGTACAATGTCTACAACATTATCACATTATCATGTTATATAATTCATTATTTATGGTTTCTAGATAGAATATGTCTGAGTAAAGGTCTATCCATACATGAGCCGCTCCTACCTTCTTGAGTAAACAAATCTAGAGCAGGATGGAAGATTCAGTCATATAAGGACTGCACCTAGGAGCATAAGCAGCTTCATAATGACCGTCCGTATTTTCTCCAGCTTGATAGGGGTGTCAGAACCCACCTGAATAGCCCAAATCTTTCACTGGTTGGCGAACTGTAGAGCTGACAGAGTAGAGGGGGAAGTCTTCTTGTCTTATGTCATTTAATGGCATACAATAAGTCTTCGGTCTAGTTTTCCCTGTCGGTTTTGTGATCCTTAAAGTATATCTAAAGTCAAAACTTGTTTTGCAAGTTGGGTAGAGTAGATTTATATTTTTTAAATTGTTTTACCTTTTATGTCCCATTGGGGATATTTTACCTCTTTCTGCTCTGTAGACACAAAAGGAAGTGAGAAGAAATGTCTTCAAAGTCTGTTGAAACCTCTATCTGAACAGGTGTTTTTTTTCTCATTTTTGATAGAGAATCTTTATATTATAGTTATTTTAGCCATTGTTTCCCCTTGAAGAGAATTGCCTTAACCTCCTGTCCCAAAAGCATAAATGGAAATGAGAAAAAAAACTTTTTCAAATGAAGAAAATACCCGCTTAGTTGTCACCTAATCAAGTGTCCTTATTGGAAGATTCCCATCGATTTCTGTTCTGGTAGCAATGCACAATTTGGAATTTACGCACACCATTGGGCTTGGTGATTGTGGTTGCCAGAAGAAATAGAGGGGATGAATCTCCCTAGGGGGGACACGGATGGTGATTCTAACTGGACAGAGGTTCTAACCCTTCACCATGCTTTTGGATTTCAATACACGCTAAACCTGACAAACAGAGGTGATGTGCAAAGATAGCAGTGACTCAATGCATTCAAATGATCACAAGCTTGCACCACAATGATTTGTGCCGTGGGAGTATATGACCCATGTATGGGTATCTTTTCTAAACATTGAATCAGTACATTTCTTACAATGATCAAATATAGGAGCAATATGTTCACCATGTAACTAAATTTAATATCCTAATTTTGTGATAAGTGCCTATCAACCTTGGGAGATGATGGTGCCCCATACTCAGAGAATTATGGGCTAATTAGGGCTTAAATGAAAAAAGGTCCCTGACTTGAGATGCTTCTGTGTCCAGCCCTCAGCTACTTACAAGTTTGTCTGTGCTGTTCAGTCTATGTCTATTAAAATCTTCTATAGCAACATACAGATTTACGATAAAGGGGAACAAATGTTTGCTATGGGAATGAGGTCACATAATTTTCCTGTGTATAGACCGTGCCCAGAAGGTTAGCAATAATCATTGATCAATTTGTAGCTACTAAAATCGCCAGAAGCCATGTCTGACATAGACAGTGTAGTTGTACTTCTGTATCTGGCCAGGAACCCCAACCGATAAGGAGCTTTGTTTCAAACTGTGCCAAGAAAAATAGAACCAATCACACAATGACCAATATACTGAAAAGTGCAAGTTCTGCTTTAGTATCCTATGCTTTTCTTTGCCCTTAAGTCATGGCCTGGACTGTACATAGAGGTCATGCTATCCTGGCCCTTTTGTACAAGCCCCTCCTTTTGTAGCATGTGATACAAAAAAAAACAACATGCTTGCTGTCATGCTTCATTTGCAGTCATAGTATATGCCCTTGTAGAATGATTTTTAGTTGACAGTGTCTGTAGTAAGCAATTAGTTATTTAATTTGGTAATTTGTGAACAGAAACTCAAATAGAAAAAGCAAGATGTGGTGTGCCACAACCAGTTGCACTATTTTGGCCCATGCCGCTACTATTACATTGTTTGGCGGTTTGGCGAGATGAGCGTGTCACTGTTGGCTCTACCCGGAAGGGAGGAGGGGGGCACAGTGTTACATCTTTGCCCTAGGCACTGGGTGACCTTGTCCCAACACTGCATCTGACTTTAATATCCTCAACGTGGACCTGAGCAAACCTTCTCTTTTATTACATATGTGGCGGCGCGTCACATTGGGTTCATGCTCTTGTTCAGCTGAGGGTGACTGATCTTAGCCTGCTGATTACGGCATTAACCTTCCTCCTTATTCCTACTGCAAGGAATAAAAATCGGCAGCTAATAATGAAATTGGAGACGAAGGGTTTTTTTTAGCAAACAGAGCATTTGCCATATTTAGCCTCGTCCCTTTCCTTGCAGACACAATTTTGCTGATCTTTCATTGTGATTAAAGCTGGAGAGGAGGCTGTTTCTGTAAAATCACCGGCATGCTCTTCAGATGCTTCTTTTACCCCAGCGTGCTTTTCCAACGCACTTGACTTTCACTTCCACTGACGATATAGGTTAAGGACCAGAGATGATTAAGCAATGAACTTGTCCCGTCATAAACCGTGTCAGTGACTTGCCATTCCCTGTAGTGTGCCCTGCGTCAGGCAGTTAAAAGCAAAGTCACATTAGATGTAGGGGAAGATTTTGGCCTTGTCATTTTAGCTGTAGCCTTATGGCCAATACCCAGCGGTGCTTACTGTGCTAGAATACAATAGCTTCCATTATTCTCTGCTGATGACCAAAATTTTAGACATTTACATTTTGACACATGGGGGGATAAGAAATGCAAAGTATTTAATTATGAAATTCTGTTTTACAGCAAATACATAAGGACCTTGTTTGTATTGTTTATCCTGTAATGGCTTTTAGAGATTAGTGTTCTTTGGACAACCAATCAAAACTTAGCTTTTGTGAAGAGACTAAATATAGCTGATTCATGGCTGGTTACTATAGGTTACTAGGCGCCAGCATGCTTATTAAGAAGTTACATATTTAAATTACCCATGGTGATTAGGAAAGAGCACTAATAATAATAATGATAATGATAATAATAAGGATGATGATAATAATAATAACCCATTCAGTTTCCAGAAATTAGACTGGTTAAAGGGGATTTCTGATTGGCTGGTACAGGTGACTTGTCAAATCTGTCTTTGCTTCATGAAATACATGATTTACTGCACAGCATTGCTTTTTATATTTTGGGGCTGGATAATTAGTGGTTTAAACTGAACAGTCACATAAAATAAACCATTTGTATTATTAACAAAATAAAATATATATTTAATTATATATAGTATAAATATCTGTATTTGTCTTTATATTAGACTCCTGTAATCCTCTACACAGCTAGATTAACCCTGGGAGGGGTAGCATTTCTCAACCCTTTGCTATGCAAGCCCACAAGAGGGTTATATTCAGAAAGGGCAGAAGGGCTGTAGAAAGTGGTTAATAGTGCCTTGAGATTGAGAAAGATTTTAAAGTGCTCCTAAAGCACATCTTCTGCATGCTGGTAAAAATGAAAGCATTTTACTTACCTAAGGACACAGTCACAAGAGTCTCCTCCTATCAGTCCTCTCTCTTCCTTTGATTTCATTCGGTGGGGTCCTTCTTTGGGTCGCCACGTCACTGCCTGTGTGAGATGGACACTACCTATTGGCTGTCCAGTTGCAGGGTCCAGAAGATGAGTGATATCAACACAAGAAGATGGTAGCAGTGCTGGATTTAGCGGTCCCCCACTCCCAAAAATAGCAGAGGTGATTGACCTGGACAGGGGGGACATAGGTGAGTATATCTTGCTTCAGTAGTTAAGAACCCAAAAACACTTGGATGGGTTAGAGAGGGGGTGGTTGTCATATATTGCATGGAGCTGGACTCTGAAGCCCAAGTCCACCTTTTTATGGACAAAAATGAATTGCCCAGCAGGTCTAAAAATAAATAATGCAGCTTTTGTTGCAACACTCACCTTTTCTCCAGCACTGTTTGCATGCACTACATTCTATCACCCAGCACTGGTCCTCTTCTGGATTGAACGTTATTTAACCCACTTCCTGTGTACCCGCTTTGTGGGGGTGCATCATAAAGCGGGCTGGGCTCCTAGTACCGCTGCACAGCACTGTGCTTCTGTGTCACAATGTGCGCGTCGCTTTGTGCAACAGTAAAGACCACTTACCGCCAACGACAGACAACAAACAAATGTTTGGACTGTTCATGGGCAATAGATGTGAAAATATGATAATTGAATGCACTAAAAGATGGAGTCACATTTCTATTTTGGTTGCAGAGCTCCATATCATCTCATCATAGATAAACTTTTGGACTTGACACTGTAATGTAGTGATGCTGTGTAAAGCACAGTAACCCGCTGCAACCAGTCAAAAATCATCTCTCTACTACCTGAACTTCCGGAAAGTAAAATCCTATTGGCTGCTATGAGTTACTGAAGTTTGCATATCTTCAGAGCTCTTTGGGTGGACTTATTGAATAGACATTTATGAATGTGTGTATTAGGGGTCTTTGCTTGTCATTATATGCAGAGGGGGATCTGCTGTCTTTCCCTCAAAGAATTGCTGCACACGCAAGTTTTAAAATTCCCACCCGAGGCCACAATATTTTATAGCTTTTAATTTGTGGATATGCTCTTTCAGTTTTGCCCATCTATCCAACAAATAATGTTCTACAGAACACTTACAAATCTCTAATTAATTCCACCCGTAGAGCTTTTGAAAGTCCAAGTCATCTCTGCCCTGCTAGCGGTATCCTTCTCTATTTGATAATTACATTTCCCTCTTGCCACTTCTTCATTGTCCCCCTGATGTTCACTGCTCACCCTAACGGACCAAGCGGTGCAGTTTGTCCTCTTTGTTTTAACGTCAGTCATTACGCCTGTGTCTCCCTCTTGTCATCCTTCTTTATTTCACATCATTGGCTCCATCCGAAGCCCTGTGAGATCCACTTTAAACCTCCTTACTCAACGTCTATTAGTTCTACCATATCGTGACCTTTTTTTCAACATCCTTAAAGAAAAAGATACAGTGTAACATTGCTTTACTTTCCTTATTGTCCTTTGTTGAGCCGAACAAAGCC